TTTTTCTATAGATATATCGCTCCGCTGGAGCGAAGGCGTGCCTGTCTCAACTTTCATAGAAAACTGATGGATTTTCTATAGGTGGCGACTTGTGTTACATAGTTTACTGAGATTTTTTCAGTTCACCCCAGTGTATCAGAAGTTTACCTTTTGGGTCAACGGCCAGAAAACCGGTGTCAAACGCCTCAACGATTGGCGAAAATTGTCCGCCGTCTCTTAAACCCCCCAAGGCATAGATTGTCCCCCTAACAACAACTGCCGATGTCGTTTTTGGAATCGTCATTGGCTCGACTTTGCGCCATTTGCTGGTCGTTGGATTATAAACATCCACATCGCCGGTGCGTTTAGTTTCCAGATTAATACCACCTATTGTATAAATCTCATCATCGACAGCAACGGTTGAAAACCAACCTTTGAACATTGGCATCTCAGGGAGCTGACGCCACTTGTCGGTTTTCGGATTATATACTTCAATACTTCTCACAAAACGTTCGATGAGGCCGGGGGCCCTCAGCCAAGTATAACCGCCGATAACATAAATTTTACCGTCTACAACGACAGCGTCCGCATCTCGTTCTGTCGGCATATCTGCCCGCTTCTCCCATTTGTTGGTCAACGGATCGTAGACCTCAACGAGGCCTGTTGCCACATCACGGTCAAGTTTTTTGTCGTGAACACTCCCACCGATGATGTATATCTTTCCATCAACGACCGCTGGCATAAACCCATTACGGAGTGTGGGCATATCCCGCTTCTTGACCCATGTGTCGGTTCCTGTGTCATACATCTCAACGTTCTTTTTGTATCTGAACGCACCCCGGGGTCCCTTTCGGTCGTAGCCCCCAAACGTGTAGATTTCGTTGGAAAAGACTGCAGTTCGCGCAGCCACCCGCGGTGTCGGCATATTCGCAGCTGTGTGCCATGTGTTCGTCTGCGTGTCGTAGACATCTACCGTTGAGAGTGCAGGGGCACGTCCCCCTAAATTTTTCATGCTGGTCGTAACCGCCGATGAGATAAATTTTACCATTGACGGCAGCAGCGTCAGCACCAATTCTCCATGTTGGCAGTTCGGTTATCTGTTCCCAACCCCCAGCAAAACTGCTGGAAGCGACAACAAGTAAGAGAGTAAAGACCCATTGCAAATACCTGTATTTTGCGAGCATAATGTTCTCCTTAGGCGTTTCTAACGTGTGTTCGACAGAAAGACGTTCAAAAAAAGAACCCGTTCTATTATTAAAGACACATTTTTAGTGTGGAAACTGTGCATAATTTGGGAAAAATGTAAAAATTAGTTATCAGTTATCGGTTTTCAGTTCTCAGTTAAGAGTCGGGATTCGGAGATCCCTCCTACAGGAGAGGGTGGTGCGCGGACTATTGGATGAGAAAGAAAAGGCAAGGTGTTTTTGATAGGGTGTTTCCTGCAGAATGGGATGAAGTTTTAGTGTCGCACCGGAAACCCTGATACACAAACGTTGTTTCCTAAAATCCGCGTCATCTGCGTCATCCGCGATAATCCGCGATTCAGACGATATACATCCTATCCCAAACGCCGATAGCTGACTGCTGCTCTCACCGCGAGGTATGATGACTAATCCTCTGACAACCGATAACCGATAACTGATACGACTGATAACCAATCAAAAGAGTGGATTTAGCATTCCGAGTTATGCTATCATAAGAGCACAAACACTCCCACTTGAGGTGATAAATTGAAACTCGGTGTATCCACTTATTCTTATTGGCATTTCAAACCTGAACGTGTGCCGATTGAGCATGTTATCGAAGAAGCCGCACGGCTTGAACTTGATGGTGTTGAAATCTTACATCAACAGATGGCATCGGAAGCCAATCCGTATCTTCAAAATCTGAAACGACTCGCCTTCATTCACGGACTCGATCTATACGCACTCTCCATCCATCAAGGCTTCGTCTCGCCAGACGAGGCGACGCGACAAAAAAATATCAATCACACCGTCCACTGCATCCGATTAGCACACGAACTCGGTATCCCCTCAATTCGCCTCAACTCAGGGCGATGGGGGACTGTCCCGTCTTTCGATGAATTAATGAAAACCGAAGGGCAAGAACCAACACTCCCCGGACACACAGAAGACGAGGCGTTTGAGTGGATAATCGCCGCCATTGAAAAGTGTCTTCCAGATGCCGAAAAACATGGTGTTGTTCTTGGACTTGAAAACCATTGGGGATTGACATGTACGCCTGAAGGTGTCAATCGTATCGTCTCCGCAATCGATTCAGAATGGTTGAAGGTGACGATGGATTGTGGGAATTTCCTTTCAGATCCGTATGAAAAACTGGAACGGATTGCAGATGAGGCAGTGCTTGTCCATGCCAAAACCTATTACGGTGGTGGAGAATGGTATACGTTAGATTTGGATTATGCTAAAGTAGGTAATATTCTAAAAGATGCCGGGTTTCAGGGATACATATCCATCTGAATTTGAAGGGAAGGCAGATGCACACGTCGGTGTCCCACAGAGTGTGGCGATGCTCCGTGGTGCCATGCCTGAATCGTAAGGACACTCTTGCCTGACATCGGATACCGCTAGAAACGATATGAAAGGAAGGGACAGATCCTCAAATCCAACTGCGAATTACCGGAAACCTGCCCGTAATGTAATGGAGGGCAGAGCGAAAACCCAATAATTAAAAAATTGGAGAATCTTCTAATGCTCAGAAAAATCGTAGTATCAATTTTGGTTTTTGCATTGCTCGGAATAGTAGGAGGACTCACGACAATGGCAGATACTGGAGAAATGGCCGGGGCAACGAACGCTTCGGAAGCTTGGCGCGCCTTACAACGCCTACAGACAACTGCCACCGTCTTACACACCGTCGCCCATCCTGACGACGAAAATGGTGCATTGTTGACGTGGCTCAGCCGGGCACGCGGCATCAGAACGGGATTGTACTCAACTACGCGTGGTGAGGGCGGTGCAAACCTTATCGGACCCGAATTATTTGACGCGCTGGGTATCGTACGGACCGAGGAGCATCTCGCTGCTGTGCGCTACTATGGTATTGACCTCTTTTTCAGCAGTGCTGTCGATTTCGGTTATTCCAAGCGGCTGGACGAGACTTTGGAAAAATGGGACTATCAGATGCTTTTGGAGGATATGGTCGGCCTGATTCGTCAATATCGTCCCGATGTCATCATCGCTCGGTTTCAGGGCAACCGCCAAGACGGACACGGGCACCATCAAGCATCTGGAGTCGTGACTTTAGAGGCATTCCGTGCCGCAGGCGATGCGACTCAATTTCCAGAGCATCTCGCAGCAGGACTACAGCCGTGGCAACCGAAGAAACTCTATATCGCGCGTTCCAGATGGCGACGCAATACCACCGAAACTCCCGATACACCTGTGCTAAAAATTGATACAGGGTGAATACAATGCTTTATTAGGACTCTCATACTCCCAAATTGCACGCCAGGGGCTTAGTTTCCAACGTTCACAAGGTGCTGGTCAGACACGCGCCTCCAAGGGTTCTGCCGTTGCGGAATTACGCTTAGTGGATACGACCCTTACCGAGCAGCGAAAACCCGAAGAGAGTCTCTTTGATGGGATTGACACGACAATTATGGGGATGGCGAGGTTAGCAAATACATCTGCATTAGACGCAGAGTTTGCACAACTTCAGCAAAGCGTCGATACCGCAATACGCGATTATGATGCCCGCCACCCTTGGACAGTCGTTCCTCATCTTACCAACGGGTTAAAAACGGCTCGCGGCTTGATCGAAAGCGTCCAGCGTATAGACCTTGATGGCAACACTCGGTCACATCTTCTTTTCCTGCTTCGGAATAAAGAACAGGAATTTATGACCGCCGCGAACGCTGCTCTCGGTTTGTCTTTAGAAGTACTGGTTCAATCCACAGCGGAAACCCGTTCATCTGAAACCTTTGCCGTTGCAATTCCCGGGCAAAAGTTTTCAATTGGAATGCGAATGGTGAATCCCACTCCGATTGCAGCTGAGTTCGTCAATGCCGCACTCCACGTCCCCGAAGGCTGGAACGTGCATCGTCCGCAGAAGGACTCGGATCGGGAAGGAATAATACCTATACCGACGAACGAACCCATCTCTATCGTGTTTGAGGTGCAGGTGGCGCAGAACGCCGATTACACGCAGCCGTATTGGACCCGCGCGTCTGAGTATCACGATGCTGTCTATACACTGAAGCGTCCAGAATTTCGCTTTCTACCCTTCGCATCGCCTGAGGTCAATGGTGTTGTAACCTATCGTGTAGATGGGGTGGACTTTACGCTGACGCAGCCAGCACAAACAGTTTCAATTAATAGACCCTGGGGGGAAAGACGACGTTTGCTAACGGTCGCTCCTGCTATCAGTGTATCTGTTTCACCGCGTATCGGCGTTATTCCAATCTCTGAGTCTACCATGACAGGCGGAAAATCGACCTTTACCACGACAGTAGAGATGCTAAACAACGTAAAGGGTGAGGCAGAGGGGACACTTTCACTCAAACTGCCGGATGGATGGCAGTCATCGCCTGAGAACGCACCTTTCGCTTTTACACACGAAGGCGCAAGCAAAATGTTTGCTTTTCAGGTATCTGCCAAGAATGTTGAAGCCGGCAAGGGAATACACAATTCAAGCAATCGCGAAGTATGATGGCGAGGAATATACGACTGGCTATCAGGCAATTGATCATCCCAGATCTTGAACCGCGGCACCTGTATCACCCTGCTGTCATGACGCTTCGCAGCATCCCACTCAAAGTCCCATCGAATTTGAGCGTCGGGTATATCATGGGTGTAGGCGACAAGATACCCGAGGCTCTGCAACAGATCGGTATCGACGTGGAGATGCTCGATAGGGATGAACTCCGCGCCGGAGATCTAAACCGATTTGATACGATTCTCGTTGGCATTCGGGCGTATGCCGTTCGACGGGATCTCGTCTCTTATAACAGCAGGCTCCTTGATTATGTGCATAAAGGTGGCAACCTCATCGTTCAATATCAGACCCCGGAATTTGATGCGGCTCCCTTCGGTCCGTATCCTTATACAATGGGCAGACGACCGGAGGAAGTCTCCGAAGAGGATGCACAGGTAACCATTTTGATGCCAGACAACCCGATCTTCCACCATCCCAATCAGATTACAGAGGCTGATTTCGAGGGGTGGGTCGAGGAGCGCGGTTCTAAATTCCTTGCTGAATGGGACGCAAACTATCAGGCACTCCTCACATGCAACGACCGTGAGCAGGAACCGCAACACGGCGGATTTCTCACTGCGAAATACGGACAAGGGACTTACACCTATGCCGCTTACGCCTTTTATAGACAACTCCCGGCAGGTGTAGCGGGTGCGTATCGCCTTTTCGTCAATATGCTGACTCTGGGCAAGTAGGGGCGAGGTCACCTCTTCTTGGTAAGGGGCGAGGCGACCTCGCCCCTACGAAGCGTCTTCCCACGGTGCCACATCGCCAACAGGCTGTGGTGCTGGGAAACGGCTCATGACATCGATAGGTCTGCCGGCATCAGACGATTCGATGACCCGCTCACATACCTCTAACGCGTGCCGTGCCTGCGCGCCGTTACAGCGCGGGTTTCGGTCAGATCTGATTGCGTCTGCGAAATCCGCGACGCCTTTGCCCCAATCTAATCCGGTAAAGGCTTTCGGGGGAGAGGGCTCATCTTGCCAGCTGTCTTGTGGGGTAAATTTCTTGATGCCGCGTCCATCGTCGTGTGCCTGAATGGAGAACCCACCTGCTGTGCCATGGATTTCATAGGGCGGAATTCCAGAAGAGACAGTAAAACTGTGATAAATGAGTCCGTGTGCTCCGTTCTCGAACTCAAGCACAGCAAATCCGTGATCCTTCTCATGTACCTCAAACTCAGTGCCTTTCCGTGGACCTTGGTGCAACATCCGTTTTGGGACAGCCACTCGTGCAAAGCCATGCACCGTTTTGACTGGAGCGATCATCGTTGTCATCGCTGTTAGCGGGTAAGGTGCGACGTCTCGAAATGGACCGGCATGCATAATGAAAGCGTCTGCGTTCGGGTGCCAGTGTTCCAAGGGACCGCCGAAGTTCCCGATCGCGGAAATCACATCACCAATTTCACCCTCACGCATCCGTTGCCAGACGTTCTGCTGAACGTATCCGAGAATTGCCGATGGCGCGCACGCCAGTTTTAATCCCATCGCTTCTGCCGTTTCTACCAGTTCGTTTGCCTCATCGGTTCGGATAGAAATCGGTTTCTCAGAGTAGACATGTTTTCCTGCTTTCAGTGCTGCTAATGAAACCGGATAGTGGGAGATGTGAATCGTCAAATTCACAATCGCTTCTACGTTTGGATCGTTCAGCACTTCGTCAAGTGATTTGTAGACGTGTCCCCGTTTCGTTCTGCCAATGCTGAGGCGCGGGTCTCATCTTGGTCATAGTAGCCAACCAATTCAATGCGATGTGGGTACGCTTGGCAACGCGGCTGGTAGCCTCCCGCGGCTATCATACCACACCCAACAATCACCGTGCGGAGTGGCGTCGTATTAGACATTCAATATTCTCCTTGTTGCGTATCAATTGTGTCACGATGTCCGAGACTTAAAGTTTAGCAGATTCAGACATTCCTTTCAAGTCTATACTGCGAGTGAATCAGAGCCATTCAGTTTTCCGTTCTTTAGGAGGATTTTGAGGACCCAGGCCCGGTAGGTGCGGTTTCCTAACCGCACCGGATCGTGAAAAAAGGTCGTGAAATCCGATAATTTCTTAAAACTGAATGATCCTGACCTTCACCTCAGTGACCGTAGGTTGGGTAGAGCGGTAATAGACAAAAAATCATTAGTTTAACCCGAGTTGCTACTAACAAGTTTTGAACGTTTCAGCACAGTTTTTCAAGCACTTTCCCCACCCCAGAGGGGTGCTATGTCTATAGAAAAGCGTCCATTCAAGTTCCCGCACCCCAGAGGGGTGCTATGTCTATAAATAGGTGGAAACTTACGTTAGTTTATACAGAGAATGCCGATTTTTGATGCCCGTTCGTCCAAATATACGCAGCGAAACCCAACAATCTGACCGCACGTGTGAGAATAGGTCGGATTTCTACCTTACACGCTTATGTCGAACTCACGTTTTATAGGAAGATGTACAATTAATTATCCGTCCAGCACCGAGAAAGTTTTATGACGGATATAGACCGGTGTGAAAGTTTCATAGCAACTTTCATAGCACCCTTTGATGAAAACCGTCTAAAACCCAATCATAGTGAGGGTTTATCGCCTTTCACGACACCTATTGATTTCTCGGTTTGCTATGAAAACTGTGAAAATATCGTCAGATGTACGAGTCTGTAGACTTTTCAGGAACCACAGGATTCCTCCCGAAGTCAGACGAGTATGCAAAACTCCTCTTTGATATGGATACCGCGGGTGTAGCGACACTGTCGCAGATACTCGCTATTGACGAGATCCTACTTGAGATCGCTATAGACAATCACTACGGTCAAGAGCTTATTCAACACCAGAAAGAAGCGATGCAAGAGACAAAAGAACGGATCAAAGAACTGAAAAGGGACGGGATAGACCCTGACGAATTCACCCAGCCCTTTATTTTCGATCCGACGCAATGAGATTCCGTTTGTCTGATGTGTCTTTTTCGACATCCCGCCAAATCAATCCGTTTTAAAGAAAGACGAAGCAAACTTCGATGAACACTGAAAACGAAGTAACCGTATTTCGGATTTAGTCCTCGTGAAAACACAATGTCCCGAAATGCCCTATTTTTCCCTTGACGCAAAAGGGGGGTACGGTGTAATATATACGGTGTGGCTTACATACCAATATCACAAAATCTTGAGGTGATAAACGTGTTAAGATATGGTCAACTCGCGTCTATCGCTATTCTCCTCTGCTTGATTCTGTCCGGATGTGCTATAATATCGCGAGATGTTACGCGGACGGAAGGTTACAACCGATTCGCAATCAGGGCAGCGCAGGCGCAGCTCTGGAATGAAGCCGTCTTCCGGTGGAAGCAGGTTATCAGTATCGATCCAGAGGACTCTAAAGCACATAATAACCTCGGTGTCGCTTATGAGGCGCTCGGAGACATGGAGGAGGCTATCGCCTCTTACCAGCGCGCGGCGGAATTAGAACCAAATAATAAATACTACAGACTTAACTATCGGCGGTGCCGTATACACCTTCGGCGAAGTGGAGGGGACGATGAAGATGCCCCGGAGTTAGAAGAACCGCCATCTACGGAATGAGGGGACATAGGATGCAGATAGCCAAAAAAATAGGAATCCTATTGGGAGTCTTGACGCTTTGCGGGTGTAGCAATGCTGTAACGCGTGTCTCTATTCCGGTGAAGATTCAATCTGAAATCGACATCGCCCGCTACTCCAACTTCGCCGTTTTACCCTTCGTCAGCGAAAAACAGATAGAGCGGAACGAAAAACTACCGCCAGAGGTCGGCGCGGAGATCGCCTCAATACTTCGGAGAGGTTTAGCACGTCAAAAACAGTTTGAGGTCATCAGCACACAAGAAACGGCGAGACTGCTCACTGGGGAAACCGTGGAAGAAGATTGGCTTTCCGATACAAAGCATCTAAGTCAGCTCGGTGAGTACTTTGAAGTAAAAGCAGTTATCGTTGGAAGTTTCCGATTTTATTCCGATAGCCGCCCAAGGCGTCATTATGGAGAACGCTACTCCGTACAACGGCAACGCTATGTCTTGGATTATCAGGATTACATGCAGAAAACCTATCTGCTCTCACTCCGTGTAATGATCGTTGATGTTGAAACCGAAAAGGTCGTCTGGGATGAGTCTTACCGGAGGAGCACTGCTGAAGCGCATACCATCGGGTCGTTCATTTTCTCACAGGTCGGACCGCAAGCGAATACTATCAGGGAACTCGGTAGACGTGCCGTGTTAGAATTTACACGCCAAATCTCTCCACATTATGAGAACGAGGATAGATATTTAGTCAATTGAGTTGTCAGTTAACCGTCATCAGTACGGGTTGCTGCGCAACCCTTTCAGTTATCAGTTACAAGAGGCTTTTATTAAACGAAAACCTCTTAACTGAAAACCGAAAGCGAACGCAGCGAGCGTACTGACAACTGACAACTAAGGAAAAGGTAAGTGATGTGAAGGACGATAAAAACAGAACCTTATTTGCAAAAGGCACGTATAGAGACCGCGCCCGCGAGATAATAGGGCAGAATAGCGGTCAGCGATCAGCGATCAGCGATCAGCAAGGAACCTCTTTCCTGACGGAAACCGAAAGCCGACTGCTGAGGGCTGTCTTGCTGATACTTGTCGTCCTGCCAATAATATTAGAAGTGCTATCGCCTTGTATTGCGTGGTCGCAAAGTTTTGGGAAAAACAAAATTACCGGACAACGCTTCGATTGGCACATTCACCGGACAGAGCATTTTGATATCCACTACTATCCAAGTGAAGCAAAGCTCGTGCCTATTATGGCGGCTATCGCCGAGGAAGCTTACGAGCAGCACAGCGAAGATTTTGAACATGAATTGCGAGACAGAACACCGCTCATCCTTTACAAATCCCATAAGGACTTTCAGGAAACCAACATAATTCTCCAAGAACTTCACGAAGGCATTGGAGGGTTTGCAGAACTCTTTAAACACCGTATTGTTATACCGTTCACTGGGTCCCTGGAAGCGTTTCGAGAGGTAATTTTTCACGAGCTCATTCATATTTTCCAATACGATATTATCTATCAGAAACCGCACGCCCGCATCTATAGTGGTGAGTTCCTCTATTCCCCGCCAATCTGGTTTATAGAGGGGATGGCAGACTATTTTGCCGAAGACAATGATGCAATTGGGGAGATGGTGGTCCGCGATGCCAGCATAAATAACAATATTGTGCCACTACCGCAACTTCACAATTTCAACCGACTCACTTCACCCTTCGTTGGATATAAGTTAGGACAATTGGCGGTGGCGTATCTCACGGAAACTTATGGACGAGAGAAAATCGCAGAGATTTTACAGGGGTTACGTCAGAGTCGCACGAAGGACATTGACAGTGTTTTCAAAGAAGTGCTCGGAGTAGAGCTCAAAGAATTTGATAAGGCATGGCGGCAGACAGTCCGAAGACGCTACTGGCCCCTCATTGAGGACAGGGAATTGCCGGATCTGGTCGCGAAGAACCTTACCGAGGAAGCTCGATACTCGCATAACATTAAACCTGCCTGGTCTCCGAGCGGCGATATTATCGCTTACGTCACAGGGAATGAGGGGTTTCTGGAAATTGTCCTCATGTCCGCAAAAACGGGTGAACGCATCGAGCGGGTCACCAAGCGATTTTTCCGTGATAAATACGAGGAGATCCGAACCGATTTCGGCGGGTTTGGTAGAAGCCTCGCCTGGGCACCCGACGGTGACAGGATCGCATTCATCGCCAAACATCACAATGCGAATTATCTCCTTGAAGTCAATATTTTGACTGAGGAGCTGACGCAGTACTTCGAGTTGGATTTCGATAACGTCACTTCACCGGACTACGATGGCAGCGGTGAACGGATAGTTTTTTCTGCCCTAAAAGAGGGACAGACGGATCTCTATGTAATTGAATTGCTGACGGGTGAAGTGGACAGGCTTACTTTCGATCCATTTAACGATACGCATCCATCATGGCATCCGATAACTGGCGAAATCATCTACACCTCCGAGCGAGGAACCAAAAATAGACTGGTGCTGATGAACCTCAACCAAGGTACAGAACGCTTGTTGACCGATGGCACCTATAACGCTATCAGTCCAACTTGGACACCGGAGGGAACATCGATTCTTTTCTGTTCGGATCGGCAGGGCATTTATGATATACACAAACTTGAAATCGTGGAGAAGGACAGCAATCAGGGGAGTAGCGATCAGCAAAAAAGCGATCAGCAATCGGCGGTCAGCAGTCAGCAGAATAGCCGTCAGCCGTCAGCGGTCAGCAGTCAGCAAGAGCGGTTGCCTCGCAGTGAGAGTTCACCAGAAAACCTCTTAACCGACAGCCACGCCAACGGAGAAGTCGTCGTAGGGGCGAGGTCACCTCGCCCCTACGGTAGCACGGAACCTGTGGGTTCTCGATCTTTAGAAGTTGAGTTGACGCGCCTTACCAGTATGATGACAGGTTGTTTCAATCCGAGCTTGGCTCCGGATGGCAAACACCTATTGTTTAGTGCCTACCAGAATGGAAAATACGATGTCTGTATCATGGAGATTGCCAAGGCGATTGAGGAAAAAATCGAGGTTTCAAGCGTGGCGGAACCCGCTGTAATTTTAACGGAAGAAGAACAAGAAAATTATAGGATTGCCAAGCGGAAATACAGCACGAAATCCTCTTTTGCTTTAGATGCTATTTTCCCGGATTTCAGTTTCGGGGCAGATGGCCTCCTGAGAAGTACGGTGCAAATCGTCGGCAGTGACATGTTAGGCAACCATCGTATCGGGGTTAGCGTGATGAACCAATCCAGCTACCTTACACCGGATTTTATCGCACAATACGGTTTTTTGACACACCGAACTGATATCGGGGCAATGATTTACAACTATCATGAATACCATATCTTGGGTGGTATACAGAGAAGGCGTGGCATTCTACAACGGATTACCGGACTCGGTGCGTATGTCAATTATCCCGTTTGACAGATACCATCGACTTGACTTTGTGTTCTCAATGTACTCAAAGCCGTTTTCATTCAACTTCCAAACGCGCGAACCTTTGGATCCGTACAACGATAGAGGCTTACTCACAACGGGTTCCATTGCATTTGTTGGAGATACGACGATGTGGCGGGAGTGGACACCTTATACCGGTTCGCGGTACCGTATCGAACTTGAACAATCCTTCCCGGCACTTGGTAGTGAATTGTCGCTAACAAATGTTATTTTTGATGCACGACGCTATTTCGGGTTGGGCAGACGGTCTACTGTTGCTGCGCGGTTATTGCTCGGTGGTAGTTTCGGTGATGATAGATCCTATTTTTATCTCGGTGGGATAGATACGCTACGTGGCTATAATTACGAAGAGTTGGTTGGAACACGTATCGGGCTTCTCAACTTCGAGGTTCGTATCCCCTTCATAGACGTGCTTCACTTCGGATGGCCCGTGCAGTGGACGCTCGGCGGGATACGCGGAATTGCCTTCGCAGATTTGGGTGGAGCTTGGTCAGATTGGCAATATGGACCGAAGAATCCTTTCAAGATATTTGTTCGCGATAAGAACCGTATCCGCCTTGAAGATGTCAAAGCCTCAATCGGGGCTGGACTTCGCTTGCAACTCGGGGCGTTCTCACTGGACTTCGCAGCAGCATGGCATACGGATCTGATCAGCGTGGAACCCGGTATGAAATACCATCTCGGACTCGGACAAACTTTTTAATTTATGGCTCTTGGGCTGCCTTCAAATGTAAAGCAAAGACAAATTATGCCATTTAAGGAAACCTAATTTCATTTCAGGCAGGTTTTCGATAAATTCTGGTGGGGCTGGGGAGATGTTTTTTTCAGGAGGTAGCAGAGCCCATTAAACTATTAAAACCATGACGGACAGCGCGAAGACTACTCATTTAAAATACTCCGTTCCTTTAAAATACTCCGTTAGGAGTTACATATCTGTAGAGGAACGGTGCTCGGAGGCTAATAGTTAAAAATATGGATTCACGAACCAAACGCTTTATTCTCACTATCGCCATACTCGCGGTTGTCGGCGGATTAGGTGCCATCTGGGTTAACCTGTATCCCGACTTCCTATGGTTTAAGGTAGTGGACTATTTCAGCGTTTACACTAAAATTCTTACAACAAAAATTTTCATCGGTGTAATTGTAGCGGGTTGCTATTTGGCAATCCTCTTGACGAACCTTGCCCTGATTTATCGATTCACACCAGCACATCTCAGTCCCTCTTTTATGGGGGGGGCAGATTTCCTGGGCGATGCCGCAAACAATCCCGGTGATACGCGAAAACTGGTTTACGGTGGGCTCACACTCCTTGCGGTTCTTTTTAGTGTCATGATGGGCTACGCAGCCAGTGACCGATGGGAGATCTATCTGCGCTACACCAATGCCGAGAATCTCGCTTTCCGTGCCGCCGCTCCTATTGTCGTAGAAGAAAATTTCAATTCTGCCGAAATTCCTGTTTCGCAACTCGAACTCCAAGCTAAAAATATAAAGGTCGGGGATCAGATAAGCGTCCAGGTGGACGGTACAAGTCAGGATGCACGGGTTGAAGCAATTTTGGATAACGCCATCCGTTTAAATACGCCTGTTCAAATTGAATTGGGGCAGAAAGCGTTCTTCATGTCTCCTGCGCGCGATCCTATCTTTGATAAGGATGTCGCCTACTACATTTTCAGGATGCCAGCGGAGCGTTATGTTTGTGGGACGCTTTTCGGGGTCTTTATGTTAGTGACGATATTTGCAATCGTCATCTACTTTTTTCACGGGCTAATCACGGGAGATACCAGTCAGTTTCGGTTCCGTCCACCTTTCAACGTGAAAGCACATTTGTTCACTCTGGTGGGTCTGACACTCCTATTCCGAGCATGGAACTACCGCTTTGCTATGTTTGATCTGCTCTATACCACAAACGATATTGTTCGTGGTGGTGGCGGGTATGCCGCAATGAAGGCACGACTCCCCATATTGTACTTCTTGATTGGACTTACAGTTCTGTGTGCTCTCATTTTCATCATTAGTATCTTCTTACAACGCAACACTTTAGCTTTTGGCGGGCTCGCTGTGTTTTTGATTGCTGGATTCCTCGGGCAAATCTACCCCGTTGCTATACAGAGATGGCAGGTTGAACCCAGAAAACAGGTATTAGAGGCAGACTATATCAACTACAACATCAAAGCGACACTTCAAGCTTACGGCTTGGCTGAGAACACCGTGACAGAAGAAGAATATCCGCTGATAGAACAACTCAGTTATGATGACATAAGGAGTCCTGAAAACGCTTCTGTTTTCAATAGCATTCGTCTCTGGGATTGGCGGCCCTTGCGCAGAACTTTCCGACAACTCCAGGAATTGCGGTCACAATATGATTTCAACGATGTCGATATCGATCGCTATGTCGTTGATGGTGAGATTCGACAGGTGATGCTCTCTGGACGAGAACTCAATATCAACGAACTCCCTGCCGAAATCAGAAATGACTGGTATAAGCAAACCTATACCTACACGCACGGATATGGTGCTGTTGTGAGTCCGGTTAACGAAATTAATAACGGCAAACCTAACATGTACATTAAAGGATTGCCACCCATTGACTATACGGAGCAGTGGCAACATCGGTTCAGCGAAACACCGGGACCCCGTATCTATTATGGTGAACGTACGGATCGCTATGTGATCGTACATCCAGAACGGAGCGAAGGACTTGAGTTTGACTATCCGCAGGAGGGACAACAATACGCCGAATATGCGTATCAAGGAAAGGGTGGCGTACAACTGAGCTCTTTCTGGCGCAAGATGGTATATATGCTGAAGTTCAATAACGAAATTAACTTCGTGCTACCGGGTGAAATTTCATCGGAAAGTCGAATCCTCTACGAACGAAACATCAAAAGCCGGATCCAAAAAATCGCGCCCTTCTTACGGTACGATGGGGATCCTTACATAATTATTCATGACGGCAGGTTGATTTGGATGATTGATGCTTATACCATCACACACCGCTATCCTTATTCCGTTTCAATGCGAGAGTTCGTCAGTGAGAGAAGACAACAGATTTCAGATACGCAGCGAGACGGTGAACCGTGGGGAAACTATATCCGAAATTCTGTTAAAGTCGTTGTTGATGCTTACGATGGCACTGTCGATTTTTACATTATGGAGCGAGAACAGGATCCGATCGCGGAATGTTATCGAAAGATCTTCCCGAATCTTTTCAAGCCGTTTGAGGAGATGCCGGATGAACTCAAGGCGCATATCCGATACCCGACATCTATGTTCCTTATCCAAGCTCGTGTCTATCAGAATTATCACATGAAAGACCCGGTGACCTTTTACGCGGGCGAGGATAAATGGGAGATAGGCAAAGAACTTTATGACAATACAGATGCCCAAACTCGACAAGCTGCTTCTCCGCAGCCAAGGAGTCCCTTCGCACCGCAGCCAGTAGCCCAAAGTTCCGGAGCAAATGGACAACCGGTTGAACCCGTATTATGTCATCATCAGACCGCCGGGACGCGAGGAATCGGAATTTATGTTGATGTTGCCCTTCACACCGCTCAACAAACCGAATCTCACTGCATGGCTCGCTGCCCGATGCGACTTGCCCCAATACGGGCAGCTCCTTGTTTACCGGTTCCCGAAAGGGAAACAGGTCGCAGGACCGATGCAAGTAGAGAACTTTATTAGCCAAGAACCGGAGATTTCGCAGCAGATCAGCCTCTGGAATACGCAAGGGTCCCGCGTCTTACGCGGAAATCTGTTGATTCTGCCGATGAACAACTCCCTACTCTATGTTGAGCCTATCTATATACAATCCGACGATGAAAAAACCGCTATTCCTGAATTACGGCGGGTCGTCATCGGATATGGGAACAAAGTCGTATGGGGTGAAACTCTTGAGGAGGCACTCGTCGAGATGTTCGGGCGGGGAACAGGGCTCCAGACTGCCACTGCGACAACGGCAACTGATGCCATCGGCGCGGCTGATATCGGGACAGACCAGACCTCATCACAAGGACTCATTGAACAAGCAAATCGTTATTTCAATGAGGGACAGGATGCATTACGCATTGGTGATTGGACGGAATATGGGCGGTATCAGCGACTTTTAGAGGAAACTTTACGTCAGCTTGCTGAATAGCAAAGGAAGGAGTATCTCCTATATCCCTCTAAACATAGATGATCCCATAATTTTTTGAGAAATCTGTTTGGGGTTTTCTATTGAAAGCGACAAACGTAGGCGTTTTCAGGGGTTCAATTCTCCTGTGTCGCGTCCAGTCGTCTGTGTAAAAACCAAACACCCCTGACAATAACCACGTCGGGGAAACGGCTGTGATAGGTTCATACGCGAGTGAGACGAACCCAGACACTGTGAGGACACTCGGAAGTAAAAAAGGCGTTAGCATTTCGGTGCTAACTTTGTAGGTTCCACCAATCTTTGGTGATTGCAAACCGAGGTTTCTATAGGTTTTTATAGAAATACTCAGGTTCAAAGGAACAGGTGAAACAGATGGCTCTTGATTGGAAACCACGGCACCGGGACATGATTGTTGGGGATATTCCATGGTTAGCCAGGATTAGTGATAAAGCCAGTGCAAAACTGCAGGGTATCCTCGGTGAATATATCTACCCGTGACCGCAGGATAAGATGTTCCTGGAGGAACACAAGATAAGTGCTGAGGCGTTCACTAAGATGGTGAAAAATAACCCCTCAGACGAGGAAATGATTGCCGCTATGAAGAAATTGGATAGTTAGCTTAATAGCGGTCAGCAAGAAAACCTCTTTGCAGGCAGCCAACGGCTGACGGCTGACCGCCATTAACACGGAGATCTATTTTTTGGAACTAACAAAGTACCGAGACCAGATTAACGAGATTGACGACCAAATTTTAGGACTGCTACAGAAACGGGCTGAGATTTCCAAACAGGTCGGTGCGGTGAAAGCAGAAACAGGCGTTGCAGAGGTTTATGTTCCGCATCGGCAGAAGCAGATTATTGAACGTTTGAAGGCACAAAATCACGGCAAGTTCCCTGAAGCCGCACTTGAGGCGATCTGGACCGAGATTTTATCTGCGTCCCGCTCCTTGCAGGATCCGGAGCGGGTGGCTTTCCTCGGGCCGGTTGGCAGTTTCGGGCACTTGGCGGCTCTATCTCATTTCGGTACGTCAACTGAGTTTATCCCTGTCCACCCACAGATTGACATTTTTACTGAGGTTGAATCTGGGAGGGCGGACTACGGTGTGGTGGCTATTGAAAATTCAGCACAAGGCACTGTTCGTGATGTTTTAGAACGCTTCCAACGTACGCCGTTATGGATTTGTGCAGAGACATTCCAACCGATAAAACAGCACCTTTTATCAAAGTCACCGCTCGCGGAAATTCAGTGTATCTACTCGCATCCGCAACCTTTCGCACAATGTAAGACATGGTTGAGGCGACATCTCGCTGGTGCTGAGCAGATTGAGGTTGTCAGTACGTCTGAGGCGGCGCAACGCGCTGCACAAGAGTCGTCGACAGCTGCCATCGCAAGTGAACTCGCAAGCGAAATTTATGAGGTTCCAATCGTCGCGAACGCCATTATGGATGACCCTGATAACACAACCCGCTTCTTTGTGATCGGAAAGCACATTCCAGAGCCAAGCGGGCATGATCGGACTTCGCTGTTTTTCGCAATTCCGGACAAGGTTGGGGCACTACACCAAGCCTTGGGTATTTTAGAGCAGGCGCAATTGAATCTGAGTTATTTAGAATCTTTGCCGTCGCGAACCAAACCGTGGGAATATATCTTCTTTACTGAGATGGAGGGTCATATTGCCGACGAACGCCTCATCGTCGCATTTGAGCGGCTTGAAGGATTGTGTCGGAACGTCAACGTTCTCGGATCCTACCCGCGCGGGTCTTTTTAATTATACCTTGCGGATAAGTAACGGCATTTGTAACTTGACGGTTTTCGTGTTCGAGTCGCCTGCGCCGTTGTTGCAGGCTGCTGCTTTGGGTAGAAAATTAAAGATAAAACTAAACAGTAGCCCGTAACGTAGTGGAGGGCGACTCTATGGAGAGGCACTCTATGTATCAAACCCACCTCACCGAACCGCAAGGTATAATTAAAAAGCAAATTCATGCGCGCGCAAACGAACTTGGATTTGAACTCGTTGGAATCACGCCTGCCGCGCACAGTGAAACAATTGCACGCTATCAGCAGTGGATAGAAAGCGGGTACGCCGGGAAGATGCACTATCTTGAAAAGCATCTTCCTCTTAAGACAGATGTCCGTCGACTTCTAACAGAGGCGAAATCTGTTATTAGCCTCGCGATGAACTATTATACGCTTGATCCACCGGAGGCACTCGCACAAGATCCGGGACGAGGACAGATCTCCCGCTACGCGTGGGGTGATGATTATCACGAACTTATTCGTGAACGCCTTTTAGAACTTGTCACTTTTATCAAACAGACCGCTGAAAGCGAATTGCGAACCCGCGTATGTGTTGATACCGCTCCTATTATTGAAAGGGAGTACGCACAGAGAGCAGGCATTGGGTGGATCGGGAAGAATACGAACCTGATTCACTGGCGTTCCGGTTCTTGGTATTTTCTCGCCGAGATACTCGTCGATATCGCGTTGGAATCCGGCACGCCGGATCTTCGTGGAAGTTGTGGCACTTGCACACGCTGTATTGAAGCATGCCCGACAGACGCAATTATTGAACCGAATGTTCTTGATTCCCGGCTTTGTATTTCTTATCTGACGATCGAATTAAAGGAGAGCATACCGAAGGCACTTCGCCCTAAGATCGGGAACTTAATTTTCGGCTGCGACATCTGCCAAGAGGTCTGTCCGTGGAACAGTAAGGCAGTACCGACAACCGAACCGGCGTTTCAGCCGCGCGATGGAAACCTCGCTCCCAAGTTACTCTCGCTTGTCGGTATGACGCAGCAGGAATTTAGCCGACGCTTCAAGAGGAGTCCAATCAAACGCGCGAAACGTCGGGGGTTCTTGCGGAACGTCCTCGTTGCCATCGGTAATTGGGGGACGCAGCGTGCTGTCCCGGCACTTAAAGACGCATTAGCCGATGATGAATCTTTAGTTCGGAGTCATGCCGCTTGGGCATTGGGAAGAATTGGAGGCGAAACCGCCAAACGAATATTGCAAACGCGACTAACCGTTGAAACCGAGCAAGATGTTATCACTGAAATTCAAGACGCGCTCTTAGAGACGGAGCAATTATCAGGGAGAGAGGAAAAAAATGCGTGAAACAACAACTGGACATCAACTCCCAGCCCCTGGTGCTGGCACAAATGGACTTGCATGGCACGAAACATCGCTCTGGAGTGTGGAAGGGGTTGGACCTATCCACAAAATCAATCCAGAAACCGGCGAGGTCGAACTAACGCTTACGCCTTCTTACCCGGGCGGAGCCGGCATAGAATGGGATGGCGAGCATCTCTGGTATAACAGTATATGGCAACAAACCTTTTACAAGCTCACGATTCCTGAACTGGAAGTCGTTACGACTTTCCGCTCACCGGCGGAAGGACCGCACGGATTGGCATGGGATGGAGAGCATCTTTGGAGCGTTGACATGAACACGGGGTCGGTTTATAAAACAGTGTCCTGAAACTGGCGAAATCCTTGCTGAACTTTCGACACCAGGAGGTCGCGCCCACGGGCTTGCATGGGATGGAGAGGCACTTTGGAACGCCGATACAAATGATCATATCGTTTACCGAATCCACCCCGAATCGGGTGAGGTGCTCAATAGCGTTTCATGCCCAAACGAACCGCATGGACTGACTTGGGATGGCACGGCGTTATGGTACGGCGATGATAAAGCAAAAACAATCTATAGACTCAGCATATCAGACTAACGTTGACCGACAGTCCTGTTCAACAAATGAGCAACACATCGCAAATTATGTTGACCACAGGTTGAAATCTGTCAATTTGATGCGGATTTACGGGTGGCATACAATTTGCTACATAGCTATATAACTGTATGCAAAGTGTCTCCAGTGGAATGCCTCTACAAACGCGCCAAACCGAATACCGATAGAGACCTTTGCGAGCGTACCTGTACGAATGGTACTTACATCAAGTCATCCCTAAATAGCCTTTGGGAGTCCTTTGCATAGGGGATCCTTATACAAACTGATATTTATGAGATAGGTTCTAATTTTTTAGATTAAAACTCAGATTTTTACGATTTTTCTGAAATTATGCACCCTTTTCGTCTACAAATTGTGTCACTAATAAGTAAAGAAGGCTCATTACAACAGAATTCAAGAAAAAACGTTACCAATCAAAACAGTTCACCTGAACTCACACCTGTTTTTGTCGGTTCAGTGCATCAGGTAATGTTCAATAACGAGGAAGATAATTGAGAAAATTACAGATAACCATGCTAACCCTATTCTTTGGAATTGGGTTGATTATGCAAAGCAGTGCCGACCGAGTGCAACTCAACACGAGTGCTGCTGTACTCCATGACAATCTCGGTGAGAGTGTTGGTATTAGCGGCGATTATGCAATGGTAGGTGTTCCAAATGATGATACCGACTTCGGCAGAGACACGGGCTCGCTTCAGGTCTTTCTTCGTACCGAAACAGGGTGGGTTCAACATCAAAAATTGTTCGCCAGTGATGCAGCAGATGGAGACCGATTTGGGCACGACCCTTGCGATGAGTGGCGATTACATCATCGTTGGTGTGCCGAGGAAAGACGGGGTTGGAAGGAACTCAGGTGCCGCGTATATCTTTAGGCGGCAGGGTACTGAATGGGTAGAGCAAGCCAAACTCCTTCATCTGACGAAACGCGAGGCGACTATTTCGGTGTCTCGGTAGCGATTGATGGAGACACCGCCCTCGTTGGAGCCCATCGTACGAACGAACCGTTAGCAGATAGCGGTGCCGTCTACGTTTTTGAGAGGACGGGGGAAAATTGGAATCAGACAGACAGACTCACTGCCCCAGATGCTGATAGTTTCGCATATTTCGGCTTTTCCGTTGGGCTTGCTGCAGATACCGCTATTATTGGTGCGATTCGGGACGATGAAGCTGGGAATGATTCCGGTGCTGCTTATATTTTCGTCCGAAACCAATTCGGGTGGGCACCTCAAGCGAAACTTATCGGAAACAATACCGAAGCGGAAGATAACTTCGGATATGCCGTTGATGTTGACGGGGATTTTGCCATTGTGAGCTCACCTAAAAACAAAGGTGGTGGTTCTGCTTACATCTATAAGCGCGAAGGGATCGAATGGAAGCAAAAAAGAAACCGCATCCGTATCCGTATGATTCCAATTGACCCGGATGGCGCGACTGGTTTCGGTGTTTCTGTTGACATCAAAGGGGAAACCGCTGTCATTGGCGCGACGGGGGGCAATGTTGGTAAAGATGTCGTCGGTGCCGCATACATCTTTACGCAAAATGAACCTCCATTTTGGAATCAACACACAAAGTTGGTCGCGGGTGATAGAAGCGGCGGTGACCAGCTCGGATTCGCTGTCGCGATCGGTGAAAACGAAGTTATCGCCGGCGCACCAAGGCACAACGCTGGTGGATTATCCTCCGGTGCCGCATATATCTTTGAACAAAGGGAAGGTGCCTCGTGGGTAGAGAATGCCAAATTGAGTGATGGCGAAACCGCTTCAGAAGATCAGTTCGGCGTATCTGTTGCTATAAGCAGTAACTTGGCTATCTCTGGTGCTCAGCAAGACGATGACATTGCACCTAACGCGGGTGCCGCGTACATCTTTGAGCGTGCCGGCGCGCTCTGGCTACAACGCGCAAAACTTACCACTGACGATGCAAAGGCTGGGGATCTGTTCGGAAACGCTGTTGCAATGGATGGTCAAACGGTCCTTGTTGGCGCACCCGGCGTTGATGATGCAGGACCGGAAGCCGGCGCAGTGTATGTTTTCGTCCAGGTCGGCGATGAGTGGATCCAACAGGCAAGATTAATCGGTGCCGACATCGGAATCTTTGATCGGTTCGGATCTGCCGTTGCGGTACATGAAAATACCGCTATCGTCGGGACACACGGAAAAGACGAAGTCGGCGCGGATTCCGGTGCCGCATACGTCTTTGTCCGAAACGGAGCCGCTTGGACACAGCAAGCGAAACTGACCCACCGAGATGCTGTACCGGGGGATCTATTCGGTTTTACTGTTTCCGTCTATGGTGATAATGTCCTCATCGGTGCCCATCGGAGCGACGCAGCGGGACCCGATTCAGGCGCAGCCTATCTCTTTACACGTAATGGCGGCACGTGGACACAAGACATCCGGTTTATTCCAAATGATATTGGCATTGGTGACGAATTCGGTTACGCTGTCAATTTAACCAAAGGTGCCGCTATCATCGGCGCACCTAAAGAAGATCGAAGCTTGACGACATCGGGGCCGCTTATGTTTTTGTGGAGACACGAGATTCTTGGGTACAACAGGCGAAGTTAGGCGCATCCGATGGCGAGACTGGAGATGAATTCGGTTCAGCAGTCGCAATTCACGAAGATACCGCAATCGTCGGTGCATGGAAAGACAGTCATCCGTTAGCCGATCCCGATGGAGATCCAGCAGCGCAACTCGACAAAGGTTCAGCTTACTCCTTTCTGCGCGACGGGTTATCTTGGGTAGAGAAACGCCGAATTGAGGCCTCCGGCACAACGCGGTCGGACCTATTCGGTGCGTCTGTTGCAATCAAAGGCGCGTTCGCTATCGTCGGTGCCTCAGGTAGCGACAATGCCGGTGATAACGCAGGATCCGCGTTTATCTATAATCCAATTGATCTCGGGTTCCGCACTGCGGATGTCCCTTTCCCTGTGGATCCAGCTTCGCATGCACTCTCGATGCTCGGATATATTAAACAGACGACAATTCTCCAGAATTATCCAAATCCTTTTAACCCAGAGACGTGGTTTCCCTACGATCTGGCGGAGGAGGCAGAAGTTATTCTGAAAGTCTATGATGTCCGCGGGGGGCTTGTACGCCAATTGGATATCGGGCTACAGAAACCGGGCAGTTATCGGAGCCAAGAGAAAGCCGCGTACTGGGATGGGAGAGACCAATCTGGCACGAAGGTCGCAAGCGGTATCTATTTCTACACATTTTCCGCTGGCGATTTCCAACGTACCCGCCGAATGGTAATTCTGAAGTAGCAGAATGGCTGTCAGCCGTCAGGTCGGGTTGCGTAGCAACCCTTTCGGTTTCCATCAGTAGCTCGTGTGGCAGTTGCTATCGTTTTCTCTGCTACACGGTTCTCTTGCTGACTGCTGAACGCTATCTTGTGGAGACAAGCACTATATGAGCCAACATACCGGCTATGACGATTTACAAACCCATATCCGTCAACTGAAAACACCTGCAATCGAGACGTGGGAAAATCAGTATAGCCACCGAGATTACACAATCGAGATTACTAACTTGGAGTTCACTGCGGTATGTCCTAAAACGGGACTCCCGGATTTCGCGACACTCTGCATTGCTTATGTGCCAGAGCAACATTGTGTTGAACTGAAATCCTTGAAGGAGTATTTCCTCTTCTACCGAGATGTCGGTATCTTTCATGAGCACGTCGTGAATAAGGTGTTGGAGGACTTTGTTGAAGCGTGCCAACCGCGGAAGGCAGAAGTTGTCGGAGACTTTAACATCCGCGGCGGCATCAAAACAGTTGTGCGTGCAACTTACAACGCGAGTTAAAAAGCGAATACTAAATACATAGCCCGTAATGTAATGGAGGGCGGATATAAGGAACGCAGGTCAAAGTTTAAACGCACGAGGTTTAACCGCAAGGTAAATTAAAGAATTGGGACGGAACGACCTATCCTTGCCGATTCATAAAGCGCATCAAAGATTTTCGCAATGTTCAATACCTCTTCCGCAGGCACCGGAGACGGTAATCCCTCACGAACAGCCTTGTGGAACGATTCAAATTCACTCAGTAACCCGGTGAGAAGTTTCGGTGTGTAATTCACCATCTCATCTTTCTTATCTTGGTAAATCTGAAGCGGTTCATAAGTCGCACCGGCTAAATCTCCCATGAAAAACGTCCCGCCGATGTTTTCAATATGTGATGCCCACGCCGTTTCCAAGGTCACCGTCAGACCTCCCTCAAAGCGGATGGTTCCCATCGCGAAGTCTTCCACCTCAAATTCTTCAGGATTCCATTTGCCCCACGGGTTGATGACATTCTCTCTATGTCCAAACTTCGTTGCCGTCATCCCGAACGCCTCGATGGGTTTCGGAGAACCGATCATCCAGAGCAGTACATCAAGGATATGCACGCCGATGTCAATCAACGGTCCGCCACCTGCAATGGCTTTACTGATAAAAGATGGTGAGGCAGGGACCCCACGCCGCCGCATCGCCATTGCACGGGCATAGTAGATGTCACCGAAAAATCCTTCGTCATAGAGTTTACGTAGGGTGCGTGCTTCAGCACGGAACCTGGATTGTAACCCGATCTGTAGGACTTTACCACTCGCTTTCTGTGCATCCACCATTGCTTGCCCGTCAATAGCATTGCCAGCAATCGGTTTTTCACAGATAACATGTTTTCCGGCGTTCAATGCCGCGATCGTCGGACCCGCATGAAAGTTATTCGGCGTGCAAACGCTCACCACATCCAGTTCGTCCATCGCCGCTAATTCCTCATAATCACTGAAAACATGCGGAATGTCGTGCTTTTTGGCGAACGCTTTTGCGCGAGTTTCGTCGATGTCGCACGCCGCTATAATCGAAACGCCCTTGACACCTTTATGGCCCGGGAGGTGTTTACCACCAGCAATGCCACCGCAACCAACAATACCTACCTTAATTTCCTTCATTTTTTCCTTTCTCCCTCATTAAATTGTTACGACCTGTGGGGCTTGTTCCAAGTTCAGGTTGTGCGCTGCTGCCCATTCTGTACCAGCCCAGTGTACGCCGTTCGGATCGCGCCTGCCCTGTGTATCCGTGGATGCCCCGAGAAACTGCCTACCGAGATCGTCCAGATTTTCCACCAGTGTTTCATTCGGTTGCAGACTATCATTGTAATAGCGCAGATAATAATCCGGCTTAATCCAGCGGTAATGGTACCCATAGATGGCGACCTTAGAGATATTGTCTCTGAAGTTCAGTCCCGCCGCATGATAGATACGGCTTTCAAACAGAAATGCATCTCCTGCGCGGAGAAGCGGTTCGTCATACACAAGTGGGTCGACATCACCTTCGGGAATGCCCAACGGTTTTCCCAACTTATGACTCTTCCGGATAAACCACGTCGCACCTGAGTTCGGTACGCTGAAATCCGTTAAGCAATAGCCTATTTTCAAGCCGACGCGCGGACACCCTTCGTGTCCGACGTCCAAATGCACACCGACATCTCGATGCCAATTGCGGTTATCAGGCTCCTCAGGAGCCTGTGGGTGTTTATAAATAAGTGCCGTGTTCGTAATGTGGATATTTGTACCGAGCAGTTGCAGGATCAACGGCACCGCCTTTGACTGTGTCGCGAGGTCGGCGAATGCTGGCTCTTGTACCAACCCATCCCGTTGATGTGCGTAATAACCGTGGTACTCAAACGATTTCATGAGTCGATCGCCCGCTTCGGTCAAGCGTTGAATCATCTCGTCATCAATTGCTGAGCGCACGATGAGGTAGCCGTTCTCCTCAAATTCTTGGCGTTGTGTCTCTGTCAACCGAGCAAATTCCATTTTTCTAATTTTCCTTTTTTAAATTTTCCTTGCGGTTAAGTGTCGTCGTTTGGATCTTGAAGTTTTTCTCTCTACAGTCGCCCTCCATTACATTACGGGCTAAGGTCTCGCGAATTAAAAAGATGGAGAACCAATTTTTACGCATTTCTGTTTTTTAAATTTTCCTTGCGGTTACGGTGAGTGGATGTTTTTGCAATGTAATACAAGGAACGGATTTAGTCTATTCCCAGACTAAATCCGGTATTTCTGCGGATTTCTCCAAGGGATTTGACGTTCCTTTCTTTGGAGCCGTCAACCCCTACGGGCTTGACTTGATTTTCTATGCTAATGTAGGAGGGAACTCCGATTCCCGACCTATCCTCACAGATGGGCTTGCAAGCTGCGCCCTGATAGAGGCTTGATAGACACCTGAAAATATGCTATCATAAATGTAAAATAACGTCTACTGATAAACGGATCTGTTTCAGAAAATAATGAAAGCGAATTTTTTCTGGTTTCTCTTGTTAGGACTTTTATCCGTAGTGTGTCTTGCACCAGCAGAGCATGGCAGCTTGGATGAGGCAGCGCGCACCTATGAGGTAGGTCTGCAAGCACTTGATCGAAAAGAAGATCGCAGTGCTTTTACAGCGTTTCAGCGAGCAGTAGAACTCGATCCAACTCTCGCTGAAGCGTACTATCAACTCGGGGTGCTTTACGGCAAACAATCGCAGTGGAAACCAGCGATTGATGCACTCCAGACCGCAATTAAACTCACACCCGATTTCACTGATGCACACGTTCGCCTTGGCGAGGCACATCTTATCGGTATGGCGAGTGCTAAAGATGCTACTGAACCCTTGGAACGCGCGCTACAGTTGCAACCTGACCTCTCACGCGCGCGAAGGCTTTTAGGCGATGCATACCTCCGACAGAACCGAATTGACGATGCGATTCATCACCTTAAACAGTTGCTACAGGATAGTAAAGCCCGTTACCTCCTCGGTCTTGCCTACTTCCAAAAAGAGGATTTCACGCAAGCGATACCACACTTTGAGGCGGTTATTAAACGCGAAGGTCAGCATGCCAAAGCGCATTTCAATCTTGGGAATTGTTATCTCCGCACAGGGAAAGTCGCCGAAGGGCGCGCCGCACTCCGTATGTTTGAGAAACTCACACGCGAAGAGGAACAATTGGCATCACTGCAGCGTTTGGTTCATAACGATCCGCAACGCCTTCAGCCTCGTTATGGGCTTGTAGAACTCCTTATGAAAAGAACGGAATGGGAATTTGCTACGGCGGAGCTTAAAGCGTGTCTCGCCATCGCGCCGCACGATGCGAAGGCATCTGAACTGCTTGGTTACATCTATCTGCAAACAGAGGCGTATCCAGAGGCACTTGAAGTCTATGGAAGTCTCGTTGAAGCACACCCAGAGAACGCGATATACCGGAATAGTCTCGGTATTATCTATATGATGCAAAAGAAACCTCGGCAGGCGATCGCGCAGTTTGAAACAGCGACACGCCTTGACACAACGAATCCACAACTTTACCGAAACTTGGCGAATGCCTATCGACAAGTCGGCGAACAGGTGAAAGCGGAACAGGCGTACCGACGTTACCGCTCCCTAACAAAGTGAACTTCAACTTGTGAGTATTATCCTACGTTATGAACACATCACGATCTCGACTTTCAGATGCTACCAATATCCGACCCTCATGGTTGAGGAAAAAGAGTTTACAGCGGCAAGAGCGTGCTGATGTATGCGTTATCGGTTCCGGCGCGGGGGGCGCGGTCGTCGCGAAAGAACTCGCTGAAGCCGGGCTATCGGTAATTATTTTAGAGGCAGGTGAAAATCACGATCCGAGCACCTTCAGCAACTACGAACCGGAAATGCTGCGTCGCCTTTTCTGGGATAGCGGTTTGCGGCGCACACGGGACAACGCGATCGTCATTTCGCAGGGCAGAGGTGTCGGCGGTTCAACGGTGCATAATCTCTGCTACGCTGTTCGCCCACCACAGGTGATACTCGACAGGTGGGGGGTTCCAACGCTCTCGTCCAATTTTGAGAGCGTAGAGCGGACCCTTGGTGTTACACAGATGCAGGAGGTAGACGTGAACCGACTCAACGCTGTCATTCGCCGTGGGTGCGAAGTGATGGGATGGCGCGGTACCGTACAAAGACACAATCGTGGTGCATGTCCTACGTGTGGTGCTCAGTGTCTTTTTGGATGTCCTGTTTCCAAAGCAGCGCAAAGCGATTCGAGAGGAACGGGCAAGCAGAGTATGGCGGTTACGTATATCCCTTTAGCACTTGCCGCGGGTGCGAAACTTTACAGCGACTGCATGGCTGAGAAAATTCACGTGGAAAAAGGTCGAGTTGTTGGTGTATCCGCGCAGTTGCCATCGGGAAAATTGCGTGTTCAAAGCGATATAGTGGTACTCGCCGCCGGGGCAATCAACTCGCCACAACTCTGGTTAAAAAGCCGACTTCCGAATATAAATCAGAGGGTTGGGAAAAATCTCCATCTGCATCCCGCTGCTTTCGTCGGCGGTATCTTTAACGAAAATATTAACGGACATCTCGGCATCCCACAAAGTTTCTATATTGACCAGTTTCTGGATTTGGAACGCACGCCGGACAGTGGTTATCTGCTCATGCCGGCTTTCGGTTCACAGATGATAGTTGCGGCGAGTCTGCCGGGGTTCGGTGAAGATCATCGAGAATTGATGGAACGCTATCGCCACATCGCCGCGCTTCTCGTTCTTTTGCATGACAGAACAACTGGACGGGTATCGGTAAATTATAAGGGTTCACCGAACATTGCATACCGACTGCGCCGTTCAGATAAAAAGGTATTGGTGGAAGGCATAATCAACGCCGCTCGACTCCTTTTCGCTGCAGGGGCAACAGAAATTCTGATGCCTTACACGCAACACCTTCCTATCAAAACAGAGGCTGACCTCAATATTATCCGCCAACGTGGTATCGTGCCAAGTGACATCATGCTGGCTTCCAGTCATCCACAGGGCACACTTCGGATGGGTGAAAATCCGAATAGAAGCGTCGTTAATCTTTCAGGGGAATCCCATGCCGTGAAAGGCTTATTTGTTGCCGATGCAAGCCTCTTCCCAACCTCCGTCGGTATACCACCGACGTTGACGATCGCCGCACTCGCTACGCATGTTGCCCATCAGATAACAGAGAGCGGAGTCATGTAGTCCTACTGTAGGGGCAGGTCTCGTGCGTGCCCACTCAGCGAAAGACGAGCCAACAAAATGATTGAATTAATCCCACTCCTTTCACTCGGAAACTTCCCCACACTGGTAGAGCGTCTCTCAAACCTTGAGCGTGTCCTCGGCTTCAAGTCGCTCTGGATAAAACGGGACGATCTCAGTGGTCCGTTAGGCGGC